CCACAACCTCTCCTCTTTCCTCCTTTCCAACTATCCTACACATCCCATCACCTTCTTTTCCACCACCTCGGATGCAGTTTAGGGGTACTAGCCGATCATCTCCTCTTCTTAAAGACAAACATTTACATTATATTTATAAATACACCAAATTTTATATAATTCTACCCCTTCATCCCCTTCCCCCCTCCCCCCCCGGACTTCCCAGAACTGAGTACAGGGATAAATATATAACATCCCAAGTCTAAATTAAGCTATCCATTCATAATACAAACAAAATTAACATGAATTGGGAATATTGTACTAGTAATCCTGAGCTCCAGTGTCCTTAGCTTCTAGAGATAGTGTAAACCAAGTCTTCTCACTCTGCCTTCGTATGGAAATATACAAAAAAAGTAATAATGTTTTACTCTTGGTATCTTATGCTTATGCTCTTTTGTCCCTCAAAAAGATTATTTATTTGGATTAATCCAAACACACCTATATGAGTTGCCCTATAAGTGTATGCTTGGAATGGAAGGGAATACATTATTGACAATTGAAAATACGACAACAGTGACTGCCTTTTATTCTGTTTTAGGTAATGTGAAACGTGACTAGACTTCAACGTCAACACTTCCTTAGGGAAGTGAAAGAGAAGTTTCTAAAATTATAAGGTAATATCAGCATTACATATTTAAATGCAAAAGAAACTGCTGTAGTTATGACTCCCATAATATCTTACATTTTTACTGTTTGTCTATATAAGTAAACTAGCTGTACCCAGCCACGCGTTGCTGTAGCTCAGTCTGGTTAAATTTACGTCCAACAGATGGCGCTGTTTTTCAAAAAAAGCATGTTTTACCTGTCACAGGTGTGACATCTATATAATAGTAGGTATATAAAAACGCGCATATTCGAATGCAACGTTGTGTCAAAATTTCAAAGCAATCGGTGAAGAACTTTCGGAGATTTAAGATTTTGAACAAATGAACATTTACATTTTTATTTATATAGAAGATAGATAAATAAACTTTATTGTAATTTTTTACTGTGGGCACAACGATACACATCAAAAATGAAATTTAGTTGCCCGCTCTCAAAGTGAACATATACATGACACACACCTAAACATACTATATACAATTAAATAATTATTAATGGACCAATGATTGAGTTGGTAACGCAGCAAATAACAAAATGTATAACAAAAAATATTCTGTGAGGTTGAAGGATCTATTTTATTTCACAAATAAATATTTCACTGTATATTTTGGATTCTAATTATAGTTTTGGAAGCTTAAATTAAAATTTTAATTTAATCTTAAATTAAAAATGGAATAACTATAAAATAACAGTATCTTGGCCTCTTATGTTCATTATTTGGGTGACTAAGCAAACACTTAGTGTTATCAAAATTAAAAATTGCTTTCTGTACTTCTCTTACAGATCTGGTAGACATTTTTCAAGATGTCGTACATGCTTCCACATTTACACAATGGCTGGCAAGTAGACCAGGCCATTCTTTCAGAAGAGGATCGTGTGGTAGTTAATCGGTTTGGACACGATTGGGATCCAACATGTATGAAAATGGATGAAGTTTTATATAGTATTGCTGAAAAGGTATAATGTTTTAGTTGACTTGGAGAAATAATATAGTATTGTGTTTTAATTAATAACATGCTTAGAATATGTGCTTAAGAAAAATGGTGTATTTCTATTACTAGATATATTTTTCAAAAATTACGTAAAAAACTGCAATCGAGAAGTGTGAATTTTTTCCCCCTGAAAGATTCCCTTTCAGAAAGATTGGAAAACATTAAATACATCTTTGCATTCCAGTGATTTGCTAAACTCACTGAATTTCAATATTTTATTTTTAGCTATGATGTCTTTATATGCTTTAAGAATGAGTCTTTTACATTCTGAAATATAAGAAATGCAATAACAAAAAAGTGAATTTAGATAAATTAAGAGAGAATTGATTTGCCTTTGGCTATTAGTCATGTTGCCTATATATATCATTTAATTCATTTTGCTTAGGGATGAGGCCTTCATGCCCATATATATAACATCATACTGTAAAAAGATGCAGCGCATTTACCTTTTTTTTTCCAGCCACAGCATCTTCACATAGCTTTGCTGCAATTCTTGCCCAGCATTGCTACTACTGAAATATCTCAGAGGGCAATGTGGTTGTGGAGGGGGGTATTTTAATTTGATGCATATGGCATCTATCTATTAGAAAGGCAAAAATATAGAGATGATATGGATGAACAGTGAAAATGGTATGTGAACTGTTGACAAGAATGGTATGTTTTCTGAATTAGAAATCATGGCTTTTGCTCTCAAAAAGATTAGGAATGGAAAGCGAATAACTTCCTTGCAGCAAGCCCCAAACCTGGCTTAGGTGGTACAATTTATTGTTTTTCTGTTTATTTTAATTGTTTTTACTGAAATACTTTGTAAAATACTTTGTTACAATAAACTAGGATTCCGAGATCTTGATTTATTCATGCGCATGAATGCACCATGTGTTTTGTGGCCTCAGAAAGCAAATGTATAAAAACATGGCAGAAGTGAAGAAACTTAACTGGAAGGGACAATCTCCATTTCATTTGTAATTATACCCTAACTAGAGAAGTGCACAATGTTTTGAGTTTGGACTGTTTTAAGTTTGCACCAAGAATGTTCTGTCGTTCTTCCAGCCTTACTAGCTGTGTTTTAACCTTGGCTATATTTCAAACTTGAAATATTTCTGGTGAGATTGGAGCAGCCTATTCTGGGCTTAAAATATTTTGTCAACTGTAATTTTTGATTTATGTGAACAATGTAGGAAAGATTGCAGTGATTTGATACTTACAGATAGGCCTCACTCAGCAACTGTCTTATGATGGTGATGAATAAGTAACTTTATGAGCTATGCTTGCAAGGCTTGCTTTGGAAGCAAGATGGATAGCATATACATTTAATAAATAAAAAAAATAAATTTACAACCTTTGCAGCATCTCTTAGCCATGTATTTTCCATTATAGTCATTACACATTGTCCTGTTTTTTTGCTCCTCCCTCCCTCCTTTCCCAGAATGGAGAGATTGCCTAAACAAGCTATCTATCCCTGAGCTGCTTTTCTCCATAGCACAATGCATCCCTAAAAACTGCTAACGGCAAGCTCTGTGATCTTAATTACCGTATATACTCGAGTATAAGCCGAGTTTTTCAGCACATTTTTTGTGCTGAAAAATGCCCCCCTCGGCTTATACTCGAGTCAGTGTCTCGAGAACTGAAGAAAGTGAGTACCGTAGTTCTTTTTGGGGGAGGGAGGGAAGTCTCCTGCTCGGCCGCTTGCTTGACTTGCAGCCGATTTCCGGGGAAAGCCTCTTTACAGCAGGCTGCTTTTGGGAAGCGCTGCCTCCTTCCATTCATCTCTTTGCTGCTGGAGAAATTTGCAATTGCCCGTGCGAGAGGCAGACAACAAGGAGAGCGGAGTAGCTGCCTCATTTCCCACCCTAGGCTTATACTCGAGTCAATATTTTTTCCCAGTTCTTTGTGGTAAAATTAGGTGCCTTGGCTTATATTCGGGTCAGCTTATACTCGAGTATATACGGTAGTTGATTAGAACCTTTTGCCTGATGGCAGACTCGCAGCTGCTTCCTGTACCTGATAAGACTTTCATCAGTTCCACATCTTTGGTTTTTGCTTGCTCCTGTGTTGCTAGGCAAACAGTGCTAGCATGTTCCTTTTGATATGTACTCCCCACTGTGTGCCTGCTTACTCTCTTGCAATCCCTTCCTTTCCAATAAATGTAAATAAAAACATTAATTCCCTTCTTGTTTATTATCCCAGCACTGGGATGAGTGTTCTCTGGAGTGAGAAAGTTGGGGAAAAGGGCTACAATATCAGATTTGCCCTTTTAAATGGCTTTCTCTTGTATTGAGTTCCAGAAACTTTCTCCGCTATTTGGGCTCACCTGGCTATTTGGGGTTGTATCCTTCTGACATTGTAAACCAAAGGAAAATTGAAGTAAAATTATAAATTCTGTCACGGTGAGTTTCCACTTAGCCTCCTAGTTGCCAGTTCCAATGGTGGGCACTAAATGAGGTCTACCTGTATGGTATTGCGCAAAGACTATAAAATTGCATAGTGTAGTTAAAGTTTTAAAAATAGATTGCTGTGAACAGAATTCTCCTTATGGAGCAAGACATGCTCAAATACCAACTTCTAAGGATCTCTTTGAAAATATGCTCCTGAGAGTTAGAGCCTTGAAGTGTAGGAAACAATTTGGCTTTGTAAGGAAAAAGAATGGAATGAATAAATAAATAAATAAATAAACTCTATATTCTTCTTGGTTTCTTTTGCAAAAGATGTGCTGTTTCTAAATACTTCCATGAGCTGAAAAACTTACAGCGAAAGTTCTAATTCTATTTTATGTATGGTTCTACATTATACAAATGCAATTTTTAAAAAATAATGCATTGAAGAAAATATTTAAACTTCTGCATAAATTAAGAAAACCACGCAAATAGCAACAATGACTTGTAATTTGTATAGTTTCAGCAGAAAAGGACAATTTAGTTTTATTAAACCTGAGTGCAAATTACTTCAGCACTTCTATATTGCCAACTGAGTCCCTAGTTTATAGATAAATAATAATACAGTTGAAAATTATAAAAAAGTTCTATTAAAATTTTCAACTTAAAATATGTTTTCAGAGCTATATCCAACAACTTTGTTAATCTCTGTATTTTTGATGGGAATTTTGGGGCTCATGGCCATTGAGAATGTCAGCAAACTGAACTTAAGCCATTTAGGACTTTTAAAATTCAAGAGAGATAATGTTTAGACAGTCACCATCGCTCTGTATCTCATCTAGAAATCAAGCAGCAACCAATGATCATTTCAGTAGAGATAATATGGTCTCGCTGAGTTATGCAGACACTAGCTTATATGTCAAATTGTATGTAAGCTAAAATGTCAAAATTAGATATAAACGATCTTCAGTGTAATACCATACAATAATGTGCCAGAATTAAAATATTATGACTTTTGGTTTATGATGATCTTTTAAATATTTTATTTTCATACTTGTCAAAGAAAAAAAAATTAAACATTGCCTATTGTTTCAAGGCTGAGTTGAGAGAGAATATCACGTGAGACACTGGGTTGAAACGGGTCATACAATAATAGAAATTCTAGTAACTTGGCAGAGAATTTGGCAGTTTTACAGAGGGAAGAAAGAGAACAATATAACTTTTGTATTTAAAAATCTCCCTCTGCAGAAATAGCAGAGAGGGTGACCCCATGCTCTGGCTTATGAGCCCTGTTTGGATATCGCTGCTGTACAGAGTGAGTAAATAATTCTAGTTGTAATACATATTTCTATATCATACCAAACTGTTGATATACTGCAGTTGCATTTTACATTTAGGAAAAAGCAGTTAACCCCATCAACATGGCCTGTTTCAGTCCTGGTAACTTCTTTCCATAGACATTCTAGTCAGTAAAGCATTTTCTTCTTCTGCTTGACACTTCTATCCTGAAGTGTATGAAAGAGACAGAGACAGACAGAGATTGTAGACCAAAAATGGTTTCCTGTCAGTTGAGGCAAAAAAATGTACATTTTAGGAAGTTCAACTTCTGTATTCTACCTTGTCTATTCTTAAGAGTTTATTTATCTCCCTATAGATTTTTAATTTTAGGAAACTACTGCATTATGTGATGCATATCATTTCTAAATTGGCAGTGATCAAAAGTGAAAATGTGCACCTTTAAATAACCATTGTTTTTACTAAATAAAATTTGAGACAATACAGTACTTAATTGTTTCAAGATCAACACAAAGGTTGTATACACTAATGAATTATTTTCAGATTTCTAAAGATGCCTAAGAGGGTTACGTCTGTGATTTATAGTGGAAGATAAGCTTAGTTTTCATTCGTAGCCTTATTGCATGTAAATATATTAGGGCAAATATTTGTGAGTTGTACAATAAATTGTTCTAAAAATGTTTTAAACGCTTGGCTTATATTGCTTCCCCAAGAACTTTTACTGAAGTTGTAAAGTTTGGATAAAAGAAAAATGTGGTCTTTAAACCTTTAGATTATGTCTTTTATTCAGATTTCAGTTCAGTAGAGCTCTACAGGAATTTGTGAGGTTTACAGCAGTATTTGCTACTTTCTCCTGAATTCTTTAAAAATCTATTAATGTACACTGAGAGGTGATTCAGAACTTTAAAGGAAATAGCATCCTCCATGAAAGAGAGAACATACTTAAATTTGATTCTCTATCTTATCAAGTATATGTTCCTCTCTGTTTAAAATAAATTTATAGATTACTATCTTTAGATGTATTTTATATAATGTGTATTCAATATTAGCAAAATGAGTAAGACTGGAAAATAATAATTGTATGAGTAAAATATGAGGTTTAATTAAATGGTAAGTTAAATAATAATGTATATAAATATTCATTCCTTTATTCTTTGTTTGCTCTTTCAAGTATATATATCCCAATTTCATTCATTGCCGTTATTTTATTTATTGCATTTTTTAGATGTTCTCCTAAAATTATGATGTATCACTTCTAAAACAAAAATAGCTGTCAGTGATAGATAGGATTTTGTAGAAATAGGTAGGGTGAGATGTTTGGTGAGTAACAGCCAATTGGATACATTTGCTTCCTTGTAAAAGCTAACATGTTGTATTAGCAAATATGCTTACTACTGAAATTTCTGTGTTTTTTGTCACTGAAGGAATTTTATTCTGAAAGGCAGAAATGTGTGATATGAAAAGGGAGTATAAAATAATCTGATGCTTCTGTAAAAATTATTTACTTAATAGCAAAACTTATGGGGGGAAAATGATCTGAACTCATTTTGTTAGAAAATGGATCTTTTAAATAGACTGGTGATGAATCTACCTAGATATAGCTGTAGTGGCTAACTATTTCAAGCATCATGTTTTGGATATCATTATGTTCTTGCGTTCTCTAAGAAGTCAAAACCTATGCATGTGTTTCTGTGTAAGCTTACAATATTATGAAAATAATTTATAAATACATTTACACTATAAACATATTATTTTTCCCTTAGGTGAAAAATTTTGCTGTAATTTATCTAGTAGATATCACAGAAGTACCAGACTTTAATAAAATGTACGAACTGTATGATCCCTGTACAGTTATGTTCTTCTTCAGGTATATTTTCATTCTTACGTTGCTTTTTAACGTGCATGTTCTCAATAGGGTTTTTTCAGTGGGAGGGGGGGTTTATAATTCCTGCCTAATTATGTTGTTATGTCATTAAGTTACAATCTAAACCTGAAAGTAACTTCTTTGGGGTTGATGTTGTTATTCAACCAATATTATAGCCTACTAGCTGGCAACAAACCAGCATTAGTAAGGAAAAGGGACAATACCAGTCTTATTGAGCTGACTTGCAATTTTATGCTTTAGGTCCTGGTAAACTAGTTGTGAGTTAGAAAGATATGACAAAATGTTTTTTATGATTATCATAATGGTAAGGCAAGTGGTATTCCCTTACCATAGGTAGTCCTTGCTTACCAGCTACCTTGCTTAGCAAACATTCAAAGTTACAACGGAGGGGGAAAAAATAGCTTTGCAGTCAATCCTTGCATTTAGCACTGTCATAGCGTCCCCCAGCCATATGACTGCTATTGGTGTGCTTTACAACTGGCTTGCATAAGCAGACTTAAAGAGAAGACAGAAGTGAAATCATAAATCACAGTCACATGATGTTTCACTTAACACCCGAAGGGGAACTGAGATCATAAGCTTATCATAGTCGCACAATTTTTCTGCTTAGCGACTGTGGCGCTTGGTTACAGAATTGCTGGTTGCAATTGTGGTCACTAAATTAGGACCACCTATTAGTGTATCTCCAGTTGTCCCATAATTCATTTCTGTTAGATACTGGTTTTGGATCAGAACAGGTCATGCAAAATAGCTTGATAGAGTTTGCAATGAACATGGCATTCCCAGTTAGAATTATATATTGTTTTTTGCATATAGTTTACAGAGCTGTTCTGTATATAGCAGGGGTCCCCAACCCCCGGTCCAGGGACCGGTACTAGGCCGTGGCATGCCAGAAACTGGTCCACACAAACAAGCAAAGCCCCATCTGCGGGATGCATGCAGCACACAAAATCATGCCCCCTCTGGTCTGCGGAAAAATCTATCTCCACTTAACCGGTCCCTGGTGCCCAAAAGGTTGGGGATCTCTGGTATATAGTTATTAAGAGGCCTTCTGTAGCAGTCCTGCAGAAAAGCTTATTATTTGCTGAAAAGAGAAATACTCCAGCCCACTATATTCTGTAAGGGTGATGGAATGTAGTGGGCCAGATTCCTAGGAGAGAGGTAGGGATTGTATGCCAGAGAACTAAGCAGCAACTCAGTTCAGATAGTTGTGTGAGAGAAAGAGGGTGAACATGCCCCTCTCTAATACTTAACAGTAAAAAATCCTGCTTGGAAGAATCACCAAGTATTTTCCTTGACTTTGGGGCCCTGACATCAGTCTTGCCAAACTGAAATAGCCTACAACTACATCATGCATATATTCTGACAGCTCTTAGAAAGGGTCTGGCTTGCCTCTTACTCTTCTGGAATGCACCCCCTCCCTCCTGGGAATCTGGCCCACTACATTCCATCACAATAAGCCACAATTGTTAACTATAATTAATTTAATTTGATATGAAACTATTTAATTTTCCCTGAGTTTATCAATTTTCTTAACTGGGTCTTTTGTAATTCTGGAAATGACATAAATGTGTGGAGTTCTTTTTTGTTTGGATATGATATGGGAAGTTATTTAAATTGGTCATTTGAATTTGTTATATTTTTATGTACCTTTCAAAACCACATATGCCATGTGGAGGCTCATCACATGCCTGGTAATATAACACTATTTCCATTTCCAATAAGTATACATCAGCAATAATTTGGGAAAAAGAAAATTAACAATTTTATTAATGGGACACCACTACTTTCTAATTTTATTAAAGTCAACTACAGCCCACTGGGTTGGGATAACATTACAGCCTGACTTCATTGGGGATAAAGGAAAGTTTGTATACATATTAATAACTATCTCACTGGCTATACAACTATATGTAGAAATACTTTAAGAGGTATGCATATAAAATGTTAACAATAAAATAAATATTTGTATAATTATTTTTCTCCTTTTCTTTCTTAAAGAAACAAGCACATAATGATCGATTTAGGCACAGGTAACAACAACAAAATTAACTGGGCAATGGAAGACAAACAAGAGATGATTGACATCATAGAAACAGTTTATCGAGGAGCTCGAAAAGGAAGAGGTCTCGTTGTGTCGCCCAAAGACTACTCAACCAAATACAGATATTGACCTTTTGGCTATTTATTTCAAGTCGTGTTTCTTGGAAACTTCCTAAAACCAGACTTAATATAGGAGAATTCTTCCATGGCTACATCTCATTGCGAATATAATGAACTGAGTAAATAACGTTTCCTGATTTTCATGGGAAAATGTCATTGATTTTGGAAATAAAAGTTAAATTTACTTTTGAATATAAAGAATTTTAAAACGTCAAGTGCTTTCTAAAAACAATCCTATTTTTTTCTATAATGTATTGTCTCTTTTTAAAAATGTATTTATTTTAGGATTGCATATAAACTTCTCTGAGTGGAATAGGGCAGTCGTGTCTCATGCCAGTGTTAGAAAAGCTGCTGTAGATGCCTAATCAAATGAGCCTAGTTTACCTTTGGCACAGGTAGTCCTGAAAAATTAAGTTATCTGGCACTTCACATTCTCGCTATAAAATTGGCATGAAAGATAGAGAAGAAGCCTTCCTGGTGATACTATGACCTATAGATGGCATCTGGTTCTTCTGCCTTGATGTCCTCTGGTATTTAGGATCTGCTGATTAAAATGATTTGGGTGCCTGTTAAAGCACTTATCGGAAGCTTTCAATGTAGGAATCAGAGACAAGCCTTTTGTCAGGATTTCAGGGGACCTGAATTCTCCATGGGCAGCTAATGAATCATTGCCAAAATGGCTGCCTGCAGAGGCAGGCAGTGGTCTTCCTCTATCTTAAGGGCTAGGTCAGGGGTAGGCAACCTTGGCTCTTTTATGACTCGTGGACTTCAACTCCCAGAATTCCTGAGCCAGCCATGCTGAGGGGAAAGGGAGAGGTTTCCAAGCTGAACCATGCTGGCTCAGGAATTCTGGGAGTTGAAGTCCACGAGTCATAAAAGAGCCAAGGTTGCCTACCCCTGGGCTAGGTGAATATATTTCTTTTTCATATGACAGGCTGAATGTGAGTGGTAGGTTGCATCTGGTTTACAGGCCATAGATTGCCAGTCCTTGAATTAAAAATTTCTCTCTACATCCATTCTATTCTCTGAATATTGAGTAAGGTGTTTTTAATCTGGGTGGTTTTCAGTATTTAAAAATTTTAACAGCTGGAGATCACTGTGTAAGAAACGTTGAGTTCTTACAGGAAAGGCGAATCAGAAAACTAACACTAGTTTAAACAATATGTTGAATATTACTTACACCAAAAAGGCTGTTTTACTTGACAAATTTTAAAAAATGTGATCCCTGAAATACTTATACTTCAAAATCATGACCTCATTTGAACATGTTCATGTCAGTTTATACAGTGATGAATTCAACTATGTGCTCTTAGGCAATGTTATTAACATACCAAAAGTGGGTACAAAATACATGGGCTTATATATATAACTAGCTGTACCCGGCCACGCGTTGCTGTGGCTCAGTCTGGTTAAATAGAAAAGAAAGAAAAAAAGCGCACGTTTCTAATATGTTTAATTTCACAATGCTTGTGGGTATACAATATTTTTTGTTGTTCCATTGTCTGTGCATCAATTCCAACGCAATGTCACACGAAATAATTAAATCAAAATGAAAATAAATCGAAATCTATGAAAATTCAATTTAACTGCAATCGGAAACATTGAAATGGAATCGTAAAATTAGAAATTTGGAAATCGTAAATGGATCGTAAATCGGAAACATTGAAATGGAATCGTAAAATCGTAGCGTGTGTTGCTTTTATGTCCAACAGATGGCGCTGTTTTTTTAAAAAAGCATGTTTTTACCTGTCACAGGTGTGACATCTATATAATATAGGTATATAAAAACATGTGCGTATTCGAATGCAACGTTGTGTCAAAATTTCAAAGCAATTGGTGAAGAACTTTCGGAGATTTAAGATTTTGAACAAACGAACATTTACATTTTTATTTATATAGATAAGCAGAAAACAGATCGTTTCACATACAGTAAACCAGTGTGATCTTTTTATTTTTGGTTTAGTGTGATTGACAAATTGCAATTTGTAAATCGTGTTTTATAACTTAGAGTACTGCACAAATATATCCAGTTTTTTGCTTACTCATTAAACCATGATGAACCAAACTATGACCTAGCATGATATATGAAAAAGGTCATCCAGGTTCAGGTTATATTTCTGACATCCTTCAGTTATCTAATTTCCTTAGTTCATTTGCTGAAAATCATAATTTTGTGTTAGTAAATATGTACGATGTCCAAATCCCAACAATTTCAGGCAGTTCACAGGCAAAAACAAAAGAAACAATGCAATGCAATAAAAACAAGGAACAAAAGACCTTGCAAAAGGTAAAAAAAAGGAGAGGACAGCAGCAAAAATTAAGTTATCCTTGGAAAATACTACATCGTAGTCAAAGGCCAGGGCAAAGAGCCAGGTGTTCAAGACCCTCTAAAACAGGGGTGTCAAACTGGTGGCCCACTGGCCGATTCGTCACACACAGGCCATGCCCATCCCTGCTCCGCAAAGGCAAAAAACATCGCAATACGTCACGTGACACGATCGAGTTTGATACCTGTACTCTAAAAGAAGAACATAAAAACCACCTAGTTCTTGTGGAAAACCTCATTCCAGAGGGCCAGCACTCCAGCAGAGAATATGCACTTCCAGATGCTGAGAGGTGGCATTGCTTAATCAAAACAATTGGAGTATGCAAAACCTGAATCAAATCTTCTAGACAGTTACTACAAGAGGTAGGTGGTCCCTCAAATAATCAGACCCTGTTCTATGTAAGGCTTCATAGGTAATTACCATCACACTGAATCGCACTCAGAAACAAACTGGCAACCAGTGCAGTTCACAAAGCAGGGGTATTACACAGGCATATCAAAGCATATCTGTTACTGGCCATGCCTCTGCATTCTGGATCAATTGAAGCTTCTGGGTAGTCTTCAAGGGCAGTTCCCTGTAGGATGTATTGCAGTAGTTAAGCCTTGAAGGGCCTCCTAGGAATATTATTTTAAAAATCATGGTAGAAATTGTTCAGAATTGCATTAGTGATATAGCAATATGACTTCAAAAACACTTGATCTCAATAGAGGAAAACTAATCGAAATAGAGATTACACTAATTTTAACAGCATGGAATTTTACTCTTTCTTTGTACTTGATAGTCTTAAGAAAACGAACTTCAAGGGGAAAATGGAAACTAAACTTGGTATAAAAGCTTATAAATATATTCATACAAAAATGTGTATGAACTGTCATGAATTCAATGTTAATATGAAGTAGTTTTCAGCCTTTAATGTCACTTTTAAACAAAAAAAAATCATAAGGAGAATTTTCCTTATTTAAATTTCTATACTGCCCATCACACTTGCATGATTCTATATTATAGCAATAATATAGGCCAGAAATATTTACAGCTTCATTTTTTTGTAGCTGATGATGATATGTGTATCCTTTAGTTATATAGTCTTTTAACAAATATCTTAAAATTTGTACAAACGTAGACCGTACTTAGTCTTAAAGTCTTCATGTTCTATCCAGTGTTTCCTTGATGTCTTTAGTTCTGTATAAAAATAATTAGCATACAGAGTTAAAATTAGGAAAACCAGATGTGAATTTAGCATATAAATAACTATCTCTCAATCTCTCTATTTTTTCAACTGAATGAATGAAAATAAGGCAAATCATTTATTTTCCAAAATTTTTCAAATATAGAAAAGTAATCTTATGAGAGGTGACACTTGCTCAACATGCTCTGCTGAATTAATCACCTGAATTATTTTTGTACAAATATGCATATTCATGCTTTCTTTACAAACAGGCAAGTCCTGGCACTCGTAGCAATCACTCCAAAATTTTGCACATTATAACTTATTCTCCGAACTGCAGTAAGCCAATGAATATGCTGTGGCTGAGTTTTTAAAACAAAGATGGATCTGCTGAATTTTTAGATGAGAGATCTCAGAATTAATGGGTTCGACTGGGAAGCTGAAAGTGCCTTGCAAAAGGTAGTGCAAATTATGTATGGTTCTATGGGTTCACTGAATATTGAGTTTCAGTTGTGGAAATCCTTACCCTGTCATAAGCTAGCTATGTTCTTGTGCTTCTATTAATGTAAACAAGAATTTGTTTTAAAGCAGGGGTGTCAAACTGCCGGCCCGCAGGCCGAATGTGTCATAGCGAAACCACGCCCACCCCACTGTCACGATACGGCGCAACACGTCACATGACGTTGCAAGTTTGACACCCCTGTTTTAAAGGATGGGTTTCTTTTGAATTGGTTATGCTAAATTTATTGTCATAGCAGATTTTTAGCTATTACAACAGTAATGTGACTAGTTTATAAAACCAGAATCTCACCGTTCAGAATCTTCATTAGCATTTTCTATTCCAGCTTCAGCCATTAGTTCAACAACATGCTTTTCCAAATCATTTATCCGTTCACCCATCTCATCCAGTAAAAGGTTAAAGAGCACTGCATTTTTAATTCATTTTTATTAGGAGTTTATATTAATCTATCTGAGAAAAGAATACATGGTGTGTATAAGCAAAAAATAACAGGATTCACATTTGGTTCCTTTCTATTGTAAAAAAGTCCAAAATGATGTTTGCTCTATTTTATCTTATTGGGTATAAAAATATTGTTTTCATACTTCTTGCCTTATCTGATCTGAATGTATGCTACATGATATTAAAAGTTTATAATGTGTATAATATTGTAGTTAAGTGTTTCAAGGCTGAACATCATCTGATGTTCAAATATAATTGTTGAGGCAAGATTATTAGTTTATTTTAAAAGAATATTACTATTATTTAATAGTTTCCTATATACTGTCAGCATTGTCTCAGTTCACAAAGTTGAAGAGGAATATATCTCACCATAAATCTCCTATATAGGAGGATCTAATATACTTAAATTGGTACCTTAACCATTAATGGTATTTAAGAATGCTGCATAACTCTTGCTGTAAAATGAAAATTAATACTTTTCTAAAATTGATATAAATTCGCTAGGCTTACTGCTTTATGTAACATTCCCTTTTTTAGATTCTTAAGTGAAAAATTCAAATGGGAAGTTGACATGCTATACCATAAAGCAGCAGCTTCTGAAATGACTTCTATTTACAAAGACTTTTGATAGTCTCCATAAGTATTCTTAGGAAATAAAAATGATGAGTGGCTAAAATCCAGTGTTTTGTTTAGAAGAATTCCCTCTTGTACAAAACCCTTATCAGAAAACAACCTGATTAAATTCTCACTTCTAGTTCCCAAAAGCATTTCCTATCATCTTTCAGTTTACCTTTCCCCTGTTTTATTCTTGACAGGTGAACTCAAAACTATAAACATATTTTGGAAACTTTAGGGATTAGCCAAGCCCATTACAAATGATTTCATATTAATTTAGAAAGGGATCTGAAAAGGATATTTTTTAGAGATAATTTATCAGTCAGGTCTTCAAAGTTTTCGTGCAGCTGTTGTAGGAGATTTTCTGCCTGTAGGTGAAAAAATACACCTATAATGTTAGACAAGTTACCACTTTAAGTTACTTCCTGGACTCATCCAGCCTTAGTAGCATGATTGTTTACAGTGCATAAAAAGCGATGGCAGTCTATTATTTGAGGAACTGAGCTTTATTTCATCTACTATGGTAAAGAAGGAGAGAGTTCTCCTAAAATAGCTAATGTATTTTGTAAAAATGCTATGATCTATAAAAGGAGTTTAAAAAAGGAACATAAAACAGAGAATATGAAATGCTGAGATTATACCTAACTTTTATATGGAAGTGTTCTTATAGGTCACTAATTTTTAAACAGTATTTTATTTTATTAATTTTACATAGTATTAAAAGAAGAGTTGTTTTTTTTTATTTAGACATTCTTGAAACAAATCTCTTGGGTTAAGAAAAAGTTGGCCTCATTCCCCCACACTCCAAGGCATGAGAGTTTCTGGTCCCATAAACAACAGGCACTAACTAATCTTCAGTGAAGAGATGTAGAAACTTTCTGAAAATCTTATTACTTTTCCCAAATGTCGTTCCCTCTAGTGATAATGCCACAATCTCGGATTATGAGGACCAAAATGCACCAGAGATGGGTTGTGGAAGATATTTTTTATGAGATGACCATCACTGCTTGCCAGCTGAGGAGATACCTTGGTAGCTTTATGCCTTATGGTAGGTAGGATGCTGTAGGTAAAAATAGGTAGGTTAAAAGATGCAGAGGGTGTAGCTATAAATGCCATCTGCCTTACCGATAAAAGAAAATATTTGTAGCTCAGGGTTGAAATGAGGGGTCCTTAGTGTTCTCTGAGCTTGGTTGTTTTCTTGCAGAGGTATTACTACCCAAACTAGGCAATATCATCAGTTTTAGTGAAGATGTTAAAACTGACCAGCACTGATGATGTTACCTAGTTTGGGTAATGAAACGTCTGCCAAAAAAACAACCAAGCTCAGAGAGCATCAAGGGCCATCTTCCTTAGCCCAGCACCCGTCCTCTTCCTTGTTGAGTCACAGTGATTATGTGTATATCTGCCGCGCGATCTCTCCTCGGCTATATTTATTTCCCAATTGCTAACACCGAGTTTATATTTGTGTCGGGGACGCTGTCTACAAAGAGCTGCCACACACCCGACTTCTGCACCATACCAGCGCAATCGGCAAAGCCTCAGGCGAGCGTCGGGCGTACTCACAAACTGAGAGAGCTCCTTGGCGCTTTGAGGGTCACTGTCCGCCATGCCCTCTTTCTCCGCCGCCGACGCCACTTGTCTCGCCCGCTCTTTTCTACTCAAATTGCCGCCCTGGTTGGGAGGGAAGTGGCTCCGGAGACAAAGCCGCCTCCCTGCCGCTCTCCGAGCATACCAGGCGGGCTTTCTCTTCGCCGGCGCGGTTACACGGCTACGACCTCCGGCGCTGCAGAAGAACCAATGCGAAAGGCGACGGTGACTTTTCCACTCCTCCTTGCCACGTGCCCGACGCGTCATTATTTTGGTTGCCTGTGATTCGGAATTTACCAAGGATATACTTTATTCCCAGCTCACCTCTAAGCAGCGAAAAGATCAAGTTTTCCCGGGTTTTTAAAGTTTGAAAGATGTTGTTGGTTGTTAAGTTCAGCCTTGGGATATGCTTGATGATCAGTCTAAAATAGCTGAGGAGCTACCCAAGGTTGGGTGGTCAGCAGCCAGCAAGAGAAGCCTCGAGTTATCTCGTTGTTGTTACTATTATTATTCATAGGACTATTAAAGTAGTATTTAATTGTTTTTATTGTTTTAAAATGTTTTTAGTATTTTGCTTGTAATATATTTTTTAAGTGCAAGCCACCTAGAGTCATTGAAATGGGTGGCTGTAGAAAAAGGAAGGAAGGAAGGAAAAATATTCCATTAGCAGTTGGAGATTTCTCCCCCACTGTGGTAGGAATGCTAAAAAAAAAAAAACAGATGTAGAAAGTCAGCACCCACCCACCCTCCTAGAGAAAGAAATATTTTAGAGGATATTTAAAAAGGCAGAATATTATATTTCCCCAAAGGAATAATGGAGAAAAATCTTACAGGAGGCAGAAACTACCCCAAGTTTCCCCAGGCAGAAACCTGAAGAGGAGGCCAGCTTTTAGAAATGCAGATTTGGGGTATACCATTCATTAGCAAAACATCTTCAGCCTCCACAGCTGATGGGATTGAGAATTTACATTCCCCCACCCAAAATCTAAACATGGCCTTTAGGGTATAATAGGATTAATCCTACACCCTCTTCAGACTAGCAAAAGACACAAAAGCCCACCTCATTGCACAACCAGGAAACATTTCCACTTCAAAGTCTCAGAGCCCTATAAAGATCCATAGACTGTCAACTCCATTTGCTCAGCTGTTCCAGAACTGCTTGATGTGTGCAGGTACTGCTCATCAATAAACTGGAACCTTCCTTCTAAGCAGCCTCCATTTTTATTTCCAGTGTCTTAGCCTCCATTTTATTTACTCCCAGCTTGGAACTAGACCTGATGATTTTTCTTTCAATAATGAAATTAGATGGAGAAAAAGTCGTATCTGCAGAGACCCAACTTTAAACTGCCTGGGAGTTTAATGCTTTTGAATGTTGGTGCTGGAGAAGACTCCTGAGAGTATAGCCAAGAAAACATACAAGTGGATCATTGAACAAATCAACCAAGTTCTCACTAGAGGCACAAGTGACCAGGCTCAAAATTGTCCTACTTTGCCCACATTAAGCAGAAACCTATCTCTCTGGAAAAGGTTTTAATGCTGAGAAAGGTGGAAGGAAAGAGAAGAAAGAGGATAACTGGCAGGAAGGTAGATTGTTACAGTGTGGTGGGTTGGAAGACCTGAAAGACCAGGTTATGGACCGGTTTTCAGGGGGGGGGAATCTATCTACAATATTTGATTGCTGAGAGTTTATAGCAGGGGTCTTCAAACTTGGCCCTTTTATGACTTGTGGACTTCAACTCCCAGAATTCCTCAGCCAGGCACGCTGGCTGAAGAATTCTGGGAGTTGAAGTCCACAAGTCATAAAAGGGCCAAGTTTGAAGACCCTGGTTTATAGCAACTTAATGGCCCATAATCAGTCACCTATGGATCTACGCTGCAAATGCTTCATTAAAGAGAAGAGCACGTATTCCATCTTTCATTCACCGAGTTCAAGATAGTCTGTATAATGCTCCCACTCCTCTTTTCCCCATAGCAACTGTGTTGTAGACAGTTCACGATGTAGGAAGGTTGCATTTTGATCCAACCCAAAGGTTTCTGTAAGGGCATAACAAATGAACGGAACAAACCTGTCTTGCTGGAAACAGAAATATTAAATTATTGTTTAGTATGTTTACTGTGTACATCTAGAACAGGCATGTCAAACTGCCAGCCCAGGGACCAGATGCGTCACGCTGAAACTGCGCTCACCCCATTGCCGACAATGGGGGAAAAGTTGCGATACGTTTCGCGACGTCATGTGACATCACGAGTTTGACATGCCTGATCTAGAAAGCCTTAGGCCAAAAATAAGTAGTCTATCATAGTGTAAAATTTATTTGTTTGTTTGTGTTTTGTTTGTTTGCCACCATCTCACCAGAACGAGACTCTGCCAAAATCCTTGTAAGAAATATTAGAGTGAAATTACCTTGAAAATCAACTAGGTCCAAATAAATATTAATTTTAATACAAGGAGCTGTTTATTTGGAAAAACAAGGGTATTCTCAGAAGCTGTGCTGCCTTATTTTAACATGAAATTAAGATACGCAATATAATTCAAATCAAGATGAGGAATTAAAAAATAAAAAGCAGCCTGGAACTAGGATAATATTAAAGACATAGTACAGAGATGAAGATCAAAGACCAAAAAGTATGATATTTTTGCTAGTAGCATTTTAAGCCTTGTAAACTATAACATTAAAATGTTAATTTTATATGACAAGTATTTCCCAAAACATCTGTATAAAATACATTTTCTTGAATCTGGTGAGAAAAGAGAGACCATAGGAAAAGGCAAGACTAACACCTTACCACCTTAAACTCACAAAATCAGTAACAGTTCTTTCCAGCCTGTTGCAAGAAAAGAAAGCGACAACTTGACTGACTTTGTTTGGTTTGAAACCTAAGCAGGGCTGAGACTGGTTGGTCTTATATGAGTTTTCTCCAAGGAATACAGGTAGTCCTTGACTTACAACCATTCATTTAGTGACCATTCAAAGTTACAATGGCATTGAAAAAAAGTGATTTATGGCCATTTTTCATACATACAGCATGGTCACATGATCAAAATTCGGACATTTGGTGATTGATATGTATTAATGATGGTTGCAGGGTCCTTTGGTCATGTGATCACCTTTTGCAGCCTGACAAAGCAAAGTCAATGGGGAAGCCAGATTCACTTTACAACCATGTTACTAACAACTATGGCAAGAAAGATTGTAAAATGGGGCAAAACTCACCCAACAACTGTTTTGCTTAGCAATGGAAATTTTGGGTTCAATTGTGATCATAAGTCGAGCGCTACCTGTATCAGGGTTTGATTACAAAGGTAAAAAAAAAAATCTTAAATGCAAATCACTTCTATATTGTTGCCAAGAAAACCTACATCCGTATGTCTGTGAAGTCACCAGGAATCAAGTTTAATAATTTACTCAAAAGAAAGTGGTGATATTTCAATGGATCTGCCATTGGATGGTGGATTTTTTTTTTTACATAAGAGCTAAGGAACAGAAGTGACACACCCTCTTAAATACTCCTAGTCACCCTTAAGTATATAGATGGCTTGCATGCACTGAAGAAAAATATGAGACTGGCAGGACAGGTTTTACTAGAACAAGGCTATTTTTGTTTGTAATAGTAACTCTGTTCTGGGTCACCTAACTGGGAAGTTGGGAAAGGGCGATATCATAGTGCACTCAGAAGCATTCTGAGAAGCTGCCCAGGAAATTTGTGTCATCTGTGTAGCCCCCAACCAGATCAGCCCATTTCAAATTGATCTCCCTTTTGCTGCATCTTCCCCTCTCCTTGCATGCCAAATTTGGCTAGTTCTGTCATTATTCAGAGACTTATCCGGCTGACAGACAGGTTCATGAGCTCATTTACATATTTTCTTTTCAATTTTCTGTTGAATTGGAAAGGGTAAAAAAGAGAATCCAATTAGATTAAACAAGGAATTTAAAAAAAACCCCTACAACAGTTGATTATACTTTTTTACACAGCAGAGGAAGCAATGTTTTCCAAATTACATGTGAACTGAAGAAATCTTATTTTCTCTGAGGACACTGGGAGATGCTGTTGAAAACCAACACATGGAGGAGTGTGCAATTGACGGCAGAACTAGCTAATGAAAAGGTGGATGCCTCTGAAGATTAGCTGCTATTTGGAAATCTGGAGTGCTTGCCAAATTGGACCATCTTCAAAGGAGTCTGGATTTGATACTTCATTTATCTCCTGTGTTTAAAGGGGTATAATCAGTTTCAACAGATTATTTCTTCCTTGCTCAGATATGCCTTAATAGACAAAAGGTATCAGGTTTTTTTTTTTATAGTTTGAAGCTAACCTGTGCTCAATGCTTTGGGGAAAATTATAGCATTTTCTTTCATCATGGAGTGACTCAGCATATTCTAGCTGAGTCGCAGGCATACATATTAGAACAGAATAACAGAGTTGGAAGGGACCTTGGAGGTCTTCTAGTATCTAGTTCAACCCACTGCTCAAGCAGGAGATCATATACCATTTCAGACAAACGGTTGTCCAATCTTTTCTTTAAAACCTCCAGTGATGGATCACTGATGGAACAAGATACTAGAAGAATGTCACATGAAATGCATGACCTCTAGTATCTATGAAATACATGTTCTTATTTAAGCTGGCATGGAAAAGCTATTTAAGGCACAAAGGCTCTCCTGGCCTTATTGGAGTAATCTAGCTAGCCTACAACCATATCACATATTGTTTAAATATAATTCATAGTATATTCTGGAATTTTGTCAGGTGTACTATTCTATCATCAACATAAATGTTTTAGTATTGTAACTGGCTTCTGATATTTCTGAGTTTATGTGACAGGATCTTTTTGGAGTCTATCACCATTAGAGCAGGAGCCAGAGATCATTTCTCTAATCATCCATTCTGCAATGAACTATAAACGACATAAATTGTTTATGTAAACAAACAAACATCTGTTGAAACTCAAGATCTTATGGAAGCTCCTTCAATCACCAAGGCAATGTTAGGCGATATATGACCATTTAATAATATATTTTAAAAAACAAAACTAAAAGCAAAAAATAATAACAATATCAACTTTAACAGCCCATATTGTTGAAAACTACAACCAGAATGCAGAACATCAGTCAAACTCAAATGACACTGCCCCACAGCCCCCAGAAGGAGGCAGGTCTTTGAAGCTTTTTTAAAGGTTAGAAGGGTCAAAAGGACAGGATAATGATAAGCAAATACTATTGGAGAGAGGTAATCCTATAAATGTCAATAAACTTGAAGGGCTTTATAGATGATAGTTACCACCTTATGTGATGGACTATAGTAATGAAGCAGATTCCCTGGAAGGAGGGAGCACATTCCAAGGAGGGGGCAAGACAAGAGACAGCACAGTCCAGAGCTGGATTATGGGAAGATATAGTATAACCACTCCCTAATATCTCCCAGGGTATATTCATTAGGTTAGGGTGGCATAGGTTTAGTCTGGCAAGATTCTGTCTATATGGCAAAAGAAAATAAAGGATCGTATTTTGACTGGATTGTGTTACATTGTTCTTTGACTAGGCCTGACACCTTGGATTGTATGCAAAACCAACTGGTAACTAGGGCATATGATGAAAGGCAGATGCCACACAAATGAGCTGTGCCCATAACTATTCTTGCTACTGCATTCTGGACCATCTGGAGCTACCAAATGTTTTTCAAGGACAGCCCAACGTTGAGCTCATTGTGAAATAATCCAGTTGAAAGGAGATTAAGGCATGAATGACTGTGGATCTGAGGATTTGGCTTAATGATTTAAAAGAAAATATTTTTTCATGAAAAACCTCCTTATATGTAAGGTTGTACTGTACTATACTGCTTGTTTTGGATTTGGCACAAATCATGCCACATCTAGGCATGAAAATTGTAATATTCTTCCTTTTTATTTTGCTATTACTGGGCTGAAGGAGCCAGACCTAGATCAGAGTTCAAGAACTCTGATGTAGAAAGATTGAAGTGTTTCAGGAACTTCAACCTAACTAGTAGCCTGTCATGCTTACTTTTTATTGAGAAACCCAAATGCATTGCTACCTGTGAGATTTCAAATAACTACCCATCTAACTTCAAAACTCTGAGCCTATATCATGGTATTGTGACAAATATTGAATGCCTTCTAAAATGCTTTTTTTGGAACTATCAATAAGATGTATTTGTTGCCGTTCTTAATAGAGATTTAAAACTATTTATTTAGTGATCATTCAAAATTAGGGTTAGGGTTAGGGTTATCTTCCCAAGAAAACTGCAAGGACTCTTGGTAATACTACCCTCCTCCCAAATTCCCCTATGTGAACTCACAACACTGAGTTTAATGAAAAGATGCCTATCCTAGCTTCAGCTCTTAAAAGGACTCTAAGTTAGCTTGTGTATTTTTTCCCTACACACAGATTTACTCCTGTTGTTTCTGCTGCTGAAATACTGTTAATTTATTTCATTTTACTTTGTCTGATAAAACATTTGATAAAGGAAACTGCTCTTTTGGCCTTGTAACACTTTCGAATAATAAGTTCTCTCTATATATTATCAAGTTCCAGGGCACATGATGGAACAGCATGAGAGCTGGGCCTCCTATCTTTACATTTCCTTCCGTCTCAACGGGTGTGGTTTCTGCCAGACGTTGTTGATTGGGGCTCCTTTTCTGCTCCTGGTGCCAATCCTATATAGTTTCTTAGAACTAAGAACTATTTAGGATTTCTTGCTGGATAGTGTTAAATTCAGTTTTACAGAACACTATACAAAAACCTCCTGCAAGATGCTAACACCTTTTAGTTTTATGGAGGGGTTTATCAGAAAGGTTTGAAGTTAATATACCCCTTTTGATGCCTTGAATATTTCATAGGAAGCTGAGACATAATTACCAATTAGGAACAGTAGGCAAGAATTTACATACAGTAGTTAAAATGCAGAGTTTTGTACACCACCTTGTCTGTTGGAGTTGGGTTGCTGTAACAAATTTGAATAAATACTAGGAAACAACTCTAAGGCATTTAGTGCAAGCACAAACATGTCTCTCCCTCCCCCCATATTTTCTTTCTTCAAAATACTACTTTAGTTAAAAAAATAGTATATTACCGCCGTTGGTGATTATGACATTTTAAAGAAGCGTTGGAAGCAGCTCCGATCTATTTATATTCCACAGGAAACACGCTCACTTTGTTGCATGAAGACTTTGTGATAATCTGACATTTGACTATTTTTCCAACACCTTTCTTTTCTCGTATCTGACGGGGGAGAAAAAAAAAATCCCATGATCTTGTGTGTGTGTGTGTGTGTGTGTGTGTGTGTGTGTGTGTGTGCGGGGGTCCCCATCTAAATCCTTGTTTAGCAAAGAGAACGAGCTCGATGGTCTCTTTCGAAAACTGAGATTCCCTCTTCCCCCCCCCCAACCCGCGTTTCCCAGGATTTTAGTGAGTCTCTTTCTCTTCGGAACTGGTCGGGCGCTAGGACCCAAACGACGAAAGGCAGGAAGGGCGGATTTCTTCACAGACGGAGGCATCTCAGCTTCTCCTGATGTCACAGAGGCGGGGCTCATTTTCTCGCTGCTGGGGGCTGCCGCTGCCAGCGCCTTGTTTCCAGTCGCCCAAGGAGGCGGCGGCGGCAGCAGCAGCAGCAGCGGTGCCTGTGGCTTTGGAAGCCCCGGGCACGGAAAGGGCGCAGCGCAGCTGTGGCTTTAGCGCAGTCTGGGGCGGGAGCGGCGCCCCGCGCTGGGGCTCCCTCGAGCAATAGGGGGAGATGCGCGATTCTTGGGACGAGGGGCCTTGGCAAGAGCCCAGGTAAGAAGAGGGCGAGCCCCCCCCCCCCGCAGCCCCGTTTCCTCCTCTTTCGGGGTTTAGGTTTCCGCCCGCTCTGCTTTTCGAAGCTGGGCAGTTTGGCGGAGTTGCTAAAAGGGAGCGTGGAAGGAAAGCAGAAGTACCGGTAGCGTTTTGTATCAGAGCCGCGGTTGGCCATTCAGAGAGGAGTGGAGAAAACACTTAGGGGGAAAGTGGTGTTTTCACTTCCTCTCTCTCCGTCTCCCTTGGTAAGGCAAGGGCTGTAGATAAAACGGTCTTCTGGCGAGAGGACTCAGCTGGGACTCCGTAATTTGGGGTCCCAGTTGTTGAGCCGAAGAGGCAGAAAGTCTGAAGGGGGGAGTCTTACCTTCTCCAATTCCTGGGACTTCTCCTCTAGCAGCAGAGAATACAGTCTTATTTCTTTCATCTCTCTTGATTCACTACTTGTCATGATTTCATAGATCAATTTCTTCCTATTCTTTTTGTTTAACTGGACAGGTCATCCTTGACTTCCAACCATTTATTTAGTGACCGTTCAAAGTTACGATGACACTGAAAAAAGTGACTTACGACCATTTTTCATACTTACAACCGTTGCAGCATCGTGTGATCAAAATTCAGATGCTTGGCAACTGGCATGTATTTATGACAGTTGAAGTGTCCTGGGGTGATTGTGCAATCTTCTGAAAAAAAATGAATGGGGAAGCCAGATTCACTTCACAACTGTGTTGCTAACTTAACAACTGTGGTGATTCACTTAACAACTGTGGCAAGAAAGGCTGAAAAATGAGGCAAAACTCAATGTCTCATTTAGCTATGGAAATTTTGAGCTCAGTTGTGGTTGTAAGATGAGGACTACCTGTATTAATTTTCCTTGACAAGCAGGTAGTTAATCATTTCCCCTGACAAGACGTTAGTACGGTATAGTTCCAGAATTACTTAGAAAAATTAAATAAACTTGCAGGGGAGTTGGGGGCTGCAGCTCCCAGAATTCCTTGTGATCTGACTGGGCATTCTGGGAGTTCAACTGTAGTATTTGTAGTGTGTGCGTGAGAGAGAAGCTGAGTTTGTTGATTAAAAACCATTTTGATTGATGGAAATAGCTCTTAAGGAAATGAAAATCGGTGACAATATAATTTGCTAAATAAGAAAGTTATTAAGTATTCAACTAGTAAGCGAGGTCTTGAAAGAGATTTTCTCTCCCATGCCCGAGGAGGAATGTTTGTGTATTTTTTGAAAAGGGATAATGTTTTCTCTATAACAATGCTAATTTGAGTAAAAATCTCTTTTGTATTGCTGTTGACCAAATAAGTCAACAGCAGTTTATCACTCTCTGTAGAATTTCTACTCATTAAAACTCATGATTATAGGAATTTTCAATAGGAAAGTTTATTTTATTAAAGACGCTGTAAAAGGCAAGCCATGTTCTTTCATGATGGCCGAAAATCCAAAGGAATCTGGTAGCACCTTTCTCAACTAATTAAATTTAATTAAAAGCTACTAGATTGCTTCTGATGTGTGTCTCATTAATATATGTGCCTTTATTATGGACAGTAGTTGTCTTACAAGTAGTTATCTTACATCATCAGTCCTAAAAGTGTTACATGTTTATAGAAATAGCATTTAGACTTATATACCGCTTCACAGTGCTTTACAGCCCTCTCTAAGTGGTTTACAGAGTCAGCATATTGTCCCCAACAATCTGGGTCCTCATTTTACCAACTTTGGAAGGATGGAAGGCTGAGTCACCAACCTTAAGCCTGGTGAGATTCGAACTGTCAAACTGCTGGCAATCGCCAGTCAGAAGAATTAGCCTGCAATACAGCATTCTAACTACTGCGCCACCATGGCTCTGCCATTAATGCCATTAATTATAAGTGTGCTATCCAACCTGCAGAATTTTTTGTTTATTAGAAAAAAAATATGCAGACCTATAAAGGAATTAATTTAAGAAAGCTTGCTATGCTGGAACCAGTAATTGCAACAAAGGAACACACTGCACATCATGAGTATTAACTGATAAGTTTTAGTATGTATATTTTGTTAGAATACTTAGTTTTAAGATTGTTAAGCTTTCCCATTCTTGACAACTCAGATATTTTGTTTGAATGTCAGCATGGTGGAGCAAGCACTAGTTTAGACAAATAGATTGTCTTTTCTTCTAGTTCATTATGATTTGACTAATTATTTTCTAATGATGTGACTGAATATTTCCCTGCAAGTTTTGACTTTGTCTCCTCTCGCTTTGTTTTTCTAGTGTTGCTTAAAGAATGGCACATGGCCTATTGGAAGATTAATCAGATATGAATACAAGTCAGTAAATCCTGAGGAAGTGAAAAAGGGGCTTCCCTTTTGCAACCAACTGTCCTCATGCTAAGGGACATCATCCTGCCCATGATGGAAACAGATGGCTGGGAATGGCTGGTATCTGCAGTTCAACAGCTGATATCCTGGGGGGCTTCAGCAGCCATGATGTTTGGTGGTGTAGTGCCATACATCCCTCAATACCGAGATATTAAAAGAACACAGAACGCAGAGGGCTTTTCAACCTACGTGTGTTTAGTATTATTAATTGCAAACATTTTAAGGATACTCTTTTGGTAAGTTGCTTCTTTTTTAAAAATTAAATTTCTCTTTGTACTTCTGGAGGATCTATCGATACCTGAAAAAAGTGTGTGTGTGTGTGTGTATGTGTGTGTGTGTGTGAGAGAGAGAGAGAGAGAGAGAGAGAGAGATTTGCTGTGCTGCCAAATTCCATGAAACTCCTTTGAAGTATAAGTAATATATCACCTGTATTTGGCCTCCCTCTGGGTTCTTTGTCAATATTTCATGAGTATATTCAAAAGGATACTTGGGTGAAACACAAATGACATTTTTGTGGTTGCCCTAAACCTGTGATACCTAATGAAGGTCCTTAATCTGTGATATCTGATATTTTGAAATATACTCTGTATGCTGTATTGGAAAACTTTTATATTTTTGTCAGCCTGAAGTTGCCAGGATTGAACACATGTAAACCCAAACAAAAGCTCTTTTGAAATTAGCTGTGGAGGCTTTATCAATATTTATCTAGCAAACATAGAATAAGCTTAATGAACAATTAAATGTATTATGAAGAACAAGGTTATGTGGCACTTGGGAACTGAAGGGAAAAAAGATCCTTCAAGAGCAGGCAAATGCTAATTGGAAATGTCTGCAACTCCTTAAACCAAAAAGTGTCTTTACAGTACTTGAGATCAGATGGTAGTCTTGTGACTCTTGGGAAATGACAAAGTTGTTTTAAGGGGTTGCAGACAAGTGTTAGATATGTATCCCCTTATATTTCAAAGTAACATTTTATCATTGACTTTGAAGTCTGCCCACCCTTAGCAAAGAAAAATCCTCAGTTAAATAAGGATATAAAAAGTAAAAGGTTTCCCTTGTCCAGTCATGTCTGGCTCTAGGGAGCAGTGTTCATCTCTGTTTCCCAGCTGAGGGAATCAGCATTGTTCCAAGATGCTTCCATAGTCATGTGGCCAGCATGACTGTATGCCGAGGCACACAGACTCTGTTACCTTCCCAGTGAAGTGGTATCTATTTATCTACTTGCATTTGCATGGTTTTGAACTGTGAGGTTGGCAGGAGCTGAAAGCTCAACGTGTCACGTGGTGTTTGGGTCTCAAACTGCCAACCTTCCAGTTGACAAGCCAAGCACCTTATCTGCTAGGCCAGACATGTCAAACTCGCGATGTCATGTGACGCCGCGTAATATATCGGGATGGTTTTGCCATTGCCGGCAATGGGGTGGGCGCAGCTTCCGGATGATGCGTCCGGCGCGTGGGCCGGCAGTTTGACACCCCTGTACTAGGCCATTGTGCCCCAATTATCTGAAATGAAATGATCCAGTATTATTTGAAAACTTTGTAACATCCACTAATCCATTTCTTCAACCTGTAGATTGTTGTGGCTAATTGAGAAAGTTATGAAGCTTTAAAGCAGGGGTGTCAAACTGCTGACCCGCGAGCCGGATGCATCATAGCAAAACCACACCCACCCCATTGCCGTCACGTGACATTGCGAGTTTGACACCCCTACTTTAAAGCCTAAATGAGTACTACACAAGCTTTTGTAGATGTCTATGGAGATTCTTTGTCATCCAGGTCATGGTTGTCCCGAAGATGCTTTTTCAAAAGGCAACTAGATTTCCTTTGTTTTTGTTTGAAGATGTTTTGCTTCTCATCCAAGAAGCTTCTTCAGTTCAGAACTGAAACAAACTGAAAAAGTCCAGTTGCCTTTTGAAAAAGCACCTTTGGGACAACCTTTTGTAGTGATCAGCAAAGGTTTATGTAATGTTAGGATGACAACAATGACTTTCAGTTTTTTGCTGGAGTTGACAAGCATAGATATCTTTCTGGAAAATGGCTGATTATTATATGTTATGTATAGGATACATGTTTCAATTATACAGCAGCATTGTAAGATTCTCATGTATATTCCTATGTGGAAGTGTGAGGCATAAAATAAAAATGGTGAAATGTAAAATTAATCTAATTTTAAAATATACATTATATTTTCTGAATACATTTCAGTATAGCTCATGCTAATTATACATGTAATAGAATGTAGCAAACAGGACCATATTAATGACAATTGCCTAGTTTGGGATAATTCACACTTTTCATGGCAGATCTAATCTATGTGTAAGAATGAAGCAATTGTGTCTGTCATATGACATTTGAAATGTTTAAGAGTAGCAACATTGTTCTTCGTATTAAATATTTATCTCTAGGATTCCCACTAACGGATGAATAGCACAGTTATCTGTCGGCCTTTTCTTCAACTTCAGAAGACTTTCATCCTGGTCTTGCTACAAAGCATCCTTCATCGCAATATAACTGATCGGTGTTCATGACTAAACATAAACAAAACCATTAGCCTTATATATTTAGTTTGATCCATGAATCTTTGTGGGAAGGGCTTTCCTCAGATTTTAATTTGGTTACAGATGACCTTTTAAGGAGGTATTGCTATAATTTTAAGAATGTAATGCGGAATAAAACTCTTGGAGATAAATAGAAGTATTGGCTTTTCTCGTGATTACATTAAATTGTTTTATTTATCTACCATCCACCATCAGGGTCTGACCTTCAAAAAATATAGGCTGCTACTTATATTTTTCTTTCTTTACTGCCTGAAGAAGAATTAGATTTTTATTATTTGCTTTATAGTTTTCTTTGGGGATGTTAACTGATTGAAACTGACCTTTATTAAATAATTCTGTGTTTAAAGGAATAATGAATGTACATTGAATCATTATTGAGCCTGGCTAATCAAGGCTATAATTGAAATTAGAGAGAAGAATGAAGCATATTGTCCCTTTAGAAGTTGGTAAAGTCTCTTTTGTTCCTGTCAATGTGTCTAGTATACAGGATGATGAGAATAACAGTTGGGTAACATTTGGAGGATCATATGTTCCTTCTGCACTTCTTCCACATATTAGATAAATGAGAGAGACTATTATCTTTACTTTTCGTATGGTGCTTCCCCTCACAAACCAGTGTAATAATTATTTCAGAGTCTTCAGAGCCTCAGTCATAAATGCCTATATCATAAATGCTATTACCATGCTGTAAATAGAATATTATTGAGGCAATGTATGTGCCTTCATTTATTTAAGGGACTAAGTTTCTTGAGTAATATTATTACATTGTTGTAATTATGAAATACAAAAAAACCATAATACCAAAGGATCTTCAAAATAGAGTACTTTTCTGCAATTTAAATATATTTAGGTCTTTTTTTTTCAATCCAAAAAGCCTAATAGGTAGGGAGATAAATTGTTTATGTGTCTTTCTTTGTATCTCTCATCCTTCCAAATTTTTCTTCACAGTAAACCTGTGAAAGTGGTTAGGCTGAAAGATGGTGACTAGCCCAAAATATTAATTCAAAGAGTTTAATCTTGCTTCTTAATCTAGCACTATACCACATTTTTTCCAGGAGTTTATTGGTGGGTGACTAAAATGTTCCATGATTAGTTGTGATGACAGCAATATTTGCTATTTCTCATCTTGAACTGGCCTAAACTTTGATTGGAGAATTCATCAGCAACTAAGGAAAACCTGAAAGTGAAGGCAGTAGGCAGGAATTTAGGAGAAGAAAAAGCTTAAAATGTTTAAGTAATAAAAATAAGAAATCTACCTTAATAAATATAAGACAATAGATGCCTTCCTAAAGCATCTTCTACATCCTTTTGTAGGAATATTACAGAGATAGGTGTTAATGAAATTTGGTCCCAGCTATGTCAGGGTGTTCATACAAGACAGACAAAATACATGACTTCCAATCATAAATATGTATTGCACTTTGGGATGTTATTTGGGGTACAAACTGTATAATTACATAAATTTGGGTAGCTCGGGAATATCACTCTTCATGCAGTTTATGTAATGTTCCTTAGCATAAAAATCTGTATTTTATAATTTATATTTTTAAGTCAGACCAAACTGAACAGATAATGTAAGCTTGGACGTAACCATCTCTTTTTGAAGCCAGAATTTGACGAGAATATTATGAAATATTAGGGACTCTTTTTCCTGCGGATTATTTTTCTTGGAGAACAAAATGTACTTGAAGTATTCCTAACATTAGTTGCTGAACTATTTTATGGAATACAGTACCTGAATAGCTGCTGAGTTATATATTCCTTCGGCTAATCCAAAGGAATTATCAGGTTTCCTCTGTTAGTGTTTTGTTTGCAATGAAATCAGTTGAGTGCTTTCCTGCAATTAGAAGGGGTGGGGACAGACTTATTGTTTTCTGGCCAGTAGAAAAAACAGCTCCAACCTTGCCCCAGCTCTGGGGAAAAATAAATGGCAAAAATAAGGAACAAGGAAGGCAGACTTCAGCAGCCAGAACAGGCTAGTTGTATTACAGCCTACCTAAGTGCCTTTCAGCTTGAGTCTTAGACAAGGGGAGCGCTGAGCCCAGAGATCCCTCCTTTAAAACTAGACCAAAATCACAAAACAGCACAAGGCTGTTATCAGGCTGGCTTTTCAGACTGATTGATTAGTGACAAGTATTTAAAAAGACTGATTGTTTAACGGTGTGCTTCTTTTATGCCAGGTAGTTGTAGGACGACCAGTGCTGCTTTCTCTCCTCACACCTTCTTAGATTTTATAATAATTAATTATGGGAAAAAGACTGTATTTTTAGAGACTTTTAAAAGATTGACTCATATAAATTTCCAAGCTGCCCTGTTATAGGAAAGTTCAAGAAAGGGCAGATAATGTTTTGAAATTCCCTTAGGCACTTTCTCTGGATATCTCTTGCCTCTCTCGTACACATAGACAAGACAACTGTACATTAGCCTCTAGTAGAAAATTTGACCAAAACAATTTAGTGGATTGTATTTAGTGGAGATTCTATCATTTATATTAATATATGCTGAGAGAAAGTTCAGGAAATGAAGAATTGTATTGGTGTTCGTTATTACCGACTCCTGTTGAATATTGTTAATGGGCTGCTTTTAGAGAAAGGATACTTGAGTTTCTCAGTTTACTTTGCATTACAGGCAATCCTCGATTGAGCCTAAAATTTTTGTTACTAAGTGAGACATTTTTGA